CTCTGCCTCCCGAGTGCTGGGATTAAAGGCGTGCGCCCCCACCGCCCGGCAAGAGTCTGTTTTAAATTATCTCAAGCTAGCAGGAGGAGGCGCTCTCTCCTTTTCATGGGTCTAGGGAAGGAAGACTGGAAAGGGATGTGTATAGAGGCATGCACCTGACCCACTGTCTCCAGCACGGCACATGGCTCCTTGTCTTCCACCTGACTGGACAGCTCAGAAGCCCTTTTCAGGACATCATCCCCACCCCAGTGTTGGTCTTCAGAAGAATACCCGGCTGTATATACACTTGCCCCAATGGAGTGTCTGCACCAGGGATCCATGGACAAATCCCCAGGGAAAGACTTAGCCAGACAACAGGTCATCACTCTGGAGGTACAAGCCACAGAACACTAGTTTATATAGGCCCTGTTGAAAGAGGCAGGTCCTAGTCAGTGGCATTGCTGAGAACCATTAGGCTTTTACACAGAACTATCCTGTCAAGTTTGAACTATAGAAGTGCTTGTGATACACGCATAAGGGCCCTGGGTTCAATCCTCAGAGCTCATGAGTAAGAGCTAGTCTGGGACTGATAGAGTGCTTATAATTTCAACACTGGGAAAGTAGAGACAGGCAGAGCCCTGGGCTTGCTGGCCGGCCAGCTTAAACTGGATGAATTCTCCCCTAATCTGAAACCCTGCCTCAAAAACCAAGGTGGATAACTGCTGAGCTGGTTCTCTGGCCTCCACAAGCATGCTTATAAACCCAAAGACTAGACTGCAGTTGGGAGTTCATAATTCAGAGACTTGGTATTCGAACCTTATACTTGTCATCTCAACCATGGAAAGTGGTCTGTCAGCCGCTGCACTATATAGGACTTCTCTGTATGTGAATCCCCATGGGTCTGTGGCTAATCTGTAGGGGGTTTGTTTTGAGACAGCTCTGCCCGCCTCTGCCTCCCAAGTGTGGGATTAAAGTCATGTGCCATGTACCACTACACCCAGCTCGTCTGTGGGGTTTAATGAATGAGTCTTTCACTCGTTTTTTGTTTGTTTGTTTTTTGTTTTTCCGGACAGCCTTGACTGTCCTGGGACTCTCTTTGTAGACCAGGCTGGCCTCGAATTCACAGAGATCCTCCTGCCTCTGCCTCCTGAGTGCTGGGATTACAGGAGTGCTGTGCTACCACCGCCCAGCTGAGACTCTTACTGGGTAAAGATTAGCCAGTTTTGATGCCCAAGTGTGGGTGTCTTGGGGCAGTGAGCAGTCTGTCATCTGGGTGGGTGGTAGCATACACCTTTGATCCCAGCACTCAGGAAGTAGAGGCAGGAGGATCTCTATTGAGTTTGAGGCCAGCCTGGTCTACAGAGTGAGTTCCAGGACAGCAAGGGCTACACAGAAAAACCCTGTCTTGAAAAACTAATAATAAATAAAACAAAATTTTAATTTATATTTATTTTACATGTATGGCTATTTTCCCCACATGTGTGTCTGTCTGTACACCACGTGCATGTGGTACCTGCAGAGGCCAAATGAGGACATTGGTATCACCTGGGAAATGGAGATTCTGATGGCAGTTGGCCAAGTGGGTGCTGGGACTTGAACTTGGAATCTCTAGAAGAGCAGTCAGTGCTCTTAACCTCTGAGCCATTTCTCCAGCCCTTCACCAGTATCCCTTAAGGAAGTGTGAGTGTCCACACATGGGTTTTCAAGAGTGCACAAAGCTAGGCCAAAAACTGAGGAGGCAGAAATGACCTCAAACACTTCTCAGCACGACGTGTTACTGATCTTAAGCTCAGATATTCATAGCAAGTCACTATTCTCATACAAGAAAAACTTTATTGTCACTTTTTATGTCCCCTTCTAGCAGATCACAAAATTCGAAGTCAAAAAACTCTGGTGTCAGGAACTGTCTGGGGACACCTGCCCTGTTGAGAACGTCTTTCATTTCATCACAGGTCGAGTCTGCAGTGAGGTAGTTCTAGCTTTAGAATGTGAATGGTCTGCTTCCCAAACACTGGGTTCTTGGCACTGAATGGTGATGCTGCCTGGTTTCGTTGGCAATCCTCCAGTATCTCTCTCGCAAAATAAATGCGGCACTTTTGGGACGTCTCTGACGAGTGAAGATCCCTTTCTTGTTCCCAATTACTCTAAGTGGTGCTTTAAAAAACAAGGGGGGATGATAAGATGGCTCACAAAGTAAAGGAACTTGCGGTTAAACCAAATCACCCCAAGTTCAATCACAGGCACCCTCACAGTGGAAGGAGCAAGCAGACTTCCCAAAGCTGTCTAACCTCTACCTATGTGTTATGGCATGCCCACACACCCCACTCTCCCACACACCAAATAAAAATGTAGTAAAGTAAAGTTTAAAATACTATGGAGGAGCACACTTTTAATCCTAGCTCCCAGGAGGCAGAGGAAGTCTGGATCACTGAGTGCCAGGTTAGCCTGGTCTACAGGCCAGCCAGGCTTGCATAATGAGACCCTATCAAAAGATGGGAGTAAACTGACCCAATTTTAACTGTTGTAAAGGAGACCAAAGCAAATACTACCTAAGCCATCTCCCCATTTCCAGTATTCTTTTTTTTTTTTTTTTTTTTTTTTGGTTTTTCGAGACAGGGTTTCTCTGCGTAGCTTTGCGCCTTTCCTGGAGCTCACTTGGTAGACCAGGCTGGCCTCGAACTCACAGAGATCCGCCTGGCTCTGCCTCCCAAGTGCTGGGATTAAAGGCGTGCGCCACCACCGCCCGGCTCCAGTATTCTTACAAAAGCCCAGAACTGGAAAAGCCAACCTGAAAAAAATCCATAAGCCTAACAGACACTCACTCTGGTTGGTCATAAAGTCAGCAAAATTCCAGATGAGTTCTCCGATCACATATTCCTTTCGTTTCTGATCGAAAACCGAATGATAATTCTCCAGGAGAGCTTTCTGGTACTCCTCACTGAACATGAGAGGTGGATCCTGGGATTCAAGGCAAAGGGAATGTCAGAGTTGCGACTGAAGTATTAGAGATTCAGCCAGGTGACCATGGCGCACACCTTTAATCCCAGCAATCAGGAGGCAGAGTTACTGTGGATCTCTGAGTTCAAGGCTAGCCTGGTCTACAGATCAAGTTCCAGGGCAAGTAAGGCTACACAGAGAAACCCTGACTCACAAAAACAAAACAATCCAATTTTGAGACAGGGAATCTCTAAACTGCTCAGGCTGGCCTTGAGCTTGCTACCCTGCCTCAGCTTCCCAAGCATCTGGGCTGTTACAACCCTGCCTGCTCAGGTTAACTGAGCAGTTTGTATTCATTCTCTCCAATTTGCATTGGATCACGTTGGATGGCACGTGATCCTTCATTGTATTCTATCTTAAATAATCGAGTCAGGGTCTCTTGCATTCCAAGTAGTCCAGTTAGGCATCTTGCTCTGGGGATCTCATCTCCATCACTGGAGTACCAGGGTTACTGGAAGCCTGACACACCAGCCTGGAGCCTGCCTGGGTGGTGGGGATCTGAATTTTGTCCTTACATTGACAGAACAAGCGCTTTCCCTGATGAAGCCACATCCACAGTCCCCGTCTCTAGCTGTTCTTTAAGCTAAAGGACTTCAGAAGTAAAAAATACGTTTACCTCAACTCTAAAAAAGTTTGTTGTGGGTTTTGTTTTCAAGGTTGGGCCTTACCACACAGCCTGGCTGGGGCCTAGACTACCCTCTAACATGCAGTCACCCTGCCTTAGCAACTCCTTCGTGTGGGACTGACCTTTGTTGTTGTTATTTTAAAGTATATGTATAAGAGGCTAGAGAGATGTCCTGGTGGTTAAGAGTATGCTGTTACTGCAGAGGGACCCAAGTTTGGTTCCCCACTCCTGTATCAGGTGGCTGACAATCACCTGTGACTCCAGCTCCAGGGGACTCTGACACCTCTGGCCTCAGTGGGTACCCTGACACACAGACATACACATAATTAAAAAAAAAAAATTAAATCTTGTATATGGAGCTGGAGAGATGGCTCAGAGGTTAAGAGCACTGGCTGCTCTTTCAGAGGATCCTGGTTCAATTCCCAGCAACCACTTGGCAGCTCACAACTGTCTGTAACTCCAGTTTCAGAGATCTGATATCCTCACAGACATACATGCAAGCAAAACACCAGTGCACATAAAAAATAAGGAGGAATCATCAAAAAAAATTGTTAAATCTTGTATATGATGTAGGTATATGTACGTGTATGTGCATGGGTGCATGCATGTAGAGGCCAGTCCTCGCCTTCCACCTTGTTTGAGACAAGGGCTCTTGTTCTCCACTGTATATACCAGGTAGCTGGCCTGATAGCTAGTGGGTTCTCCTGTTTCTGAGACCCCGCTTGCAATAGGAGAACTGGGATGACAGATGTGTGCCACCACACCTGGCATTATGGGGGTTCCTTGGATTTGAACTCTGGTCATCACGCTTGTGAAGCAAGCACTTTATCTGAGTCATCTCATGTAGCCCAGGCTGGCCTGCAACTCAATATATAGCTGAGGCTAGCCTTGAACTCCTGCCTTCACTCAAGTGGTAGAACAGACTTGGGCCACCTTGCCCACCATGACTTTTAATGGAAACAGACCCACGCTAATACAGCAGCTCCAGCCATGTGTGGCCATTTAAATTAGGATAACACCAAGCCAACGTAGTCTACTACCCACATCTCAATCTCAGTAGCTGTTACGTGGCTAGTTGCTATCAACACCGGTCTCGACAGGAGAATGTTTGTTTGTCTGAGACAGGGTTTTCTGTATCCTAAACTAGCCTCACACTCCTTATGTAGGCAAGGATGACCCTGAACTTCAGATTCTTTTGCCCCCACTTCCCAGTGCAAGTATTACAGACGTGCATTACCACACCAGCTCTGTCTGGTGCAGGAGTAGCATGTGGAGCTTTATGCGTGCTGGACTGTTTTTTGGTGTTTTTTTTTTTTTTGGTTTTTCGAGACAGGGTTTCTCTGTGTAGCTTTGTGCCTGTCCTGGTACTCACTCTGTAGACCAGGCTGGCCTCGAACTCATAGTGATCCACCTGCCTCTGCCTCCTGAGTGCTGGGATTAAAGGTGTGTGCCACCATTGCCCAGTCTGAAAATTACCTTTTAGAAAAGATTTGTTCATTTTTTACATTGTGTCTGTACACTGCAGGTAGGCACGCAGGTTCATGTGGAGGCCTAAAGAGGCTGTCAGATCCTCTAGAACTGGAGTTACAGGCACTTGTCAACTACCTGATGTGGGTGCTGGGAACCAAACAGGACCTCTGGAAGGGCAGCAAATGCTCTTAACCACTGAGCCATCTCTCCAGCCCACAGGCTGAGAATTTTAAAGTCATTATAGGAGCCTTTAATCCCAGCACTTGAGAGGCAAAGACAGGTGGATCTCTGTGAGTTCATGGCTGCCTGGTCTACAGAGTGAGATCCAGGACAGCCATGGCTACACAGAGAAACCCTGTCTTAAAAAAACTTAAAAAAAAAAAAAAAAAAAGAATTGGGCCAGGTGTGGAGGCACACACCTGTCATCCCAGCACTCAAGGGGCTAAGGGAGATTGTGAGTTTGAGGCCAGCCTGGGCATCAAAGACCTTCTTTAGAAAAAAAAAAAACATTGTGGATGGCAGGGTGTGGCGGGGG